GAGGAAGTTAAAAAAAAAAAAAAAAAAAAGAGTCGTGAAGGTGGAGGTGAACTCAGGAGGCAAAGTCCTTATGACACTATACGCCTTAGTTACTACTTTCCTATTAGCATAGGTAAGGATGGGCGTGTGCTGATACCAGGTATCAGTTTAACGTGTTGGGTACTTGTAGAGGCTGCCGATACTAGCCACCAATACTTAAGGCAAATAAAGTCTGACATTGAGTAAGTCCCCCTCGGCAATAATTGGCGCTATACTGTGAGAGTCTTGATGTTAAAATACGAGGTATCTGTTCTTGGTATCAGTGAGTACTCAAAAAATGAATACTGGTATTGGTATCGGTCTGAAAAAAAGTGGTATCGGACATCCCTCAGCTCCAGCTTTGGCGCCATCTTTGGACGTTAGCGATCAAGCACAAAAAAGGTTATACACTTTGAATATGTTGATTTGGACAACGCAAATAGACAAGTCATGCACCGTATACAACATCATATTCGTCATCGCAAACGTACGTGGTTTCTTGGTGTGAATCTCGAGGCGCTCGCTGGCCGGCCCGTAGCCTGCAGAATTATAGCCCCGGATCTCTATGAGGTAAAGGGAGTCGGGCTTCATTCCGTCCACTCTGGTATGGTTTTCCCTGCCGGACACCACCACTCTGTGGGCTCCACCTTCACTGTCCTCTTTTTTTCGCCAATACTTCACCTGAGACCCCAAAGCGAGGTGCAGAAGTGAAAGTCAAGTGTCTTGGCCCGTCAAGGGTCTCACGTGTATTTTCAGGTCATGTGCATGCGTGTAATTAACACCGACCTGGTATCCGTCTATGTTGCTCTGCGTGATGGGGAACCACCACACAACAGCTTCGGTGGCAGAAAGCGCTTTCCCGTCAATGCTTCCAGGAGCATCAGTGGGCACTAAAACAAAACACATCGATCAAAACCGCCATTTTTGGAGTTGGATAGTGTCACACTGACACAAGATGCAATTTTAATCTTAAAAGTCACGTTTTTTTTCTATTTTCTACAGAACGCAGAGCCAGTGGTTTTAATCGGTAGTCGCTGGACGAATTCGCCTCGCTCAGACATACAACGAAAGTCACCCCCCCCGTCCACACTTAAGATGTTGTGAGGCTATTGTCGCACACACAAACGCACAAAAGGGGGCTGAAGGCAGTTTCCAAGTGCCCAATTCGCAACGGTCAACTTTACTCATCCGCAAGTGGAGATCTTGCAAGTTCCTTATGTACCTTTAACGGATTGTCTTCCAAGGGGTTTTCCCCGTGGGAATGGGAGACTGCAATTTGTGCTAGACTTGCGCTGGGCAGTAAATTGGGTGCCGGGTAGTTGTTTGTTGAGACAACGGGGGGGCCACGACAGACGCACGTGTGAAAACGGTCCGAATGATCTCACTACTGGCTCAATTTGGGCCGGGAAAACCCTGAATGGTGTGCTCTTCAGTGTTCCCATGGTAACCCGACTTGATTCTGCATGAGAGTGGTTATCGCAACAGTCTGTCAGTGGAGGTTAATAACCGTTCAAGGTACACATATCTCGATAAACCCCCCCGGCATCAGGCGAGGGCAGAAGATGGCGCTCGCTTTCAAAGCGGGTATTAACATTCCACACATCTGCGCAAGAGAACTTTGTGCTCAAAACCTGACAGGTTAAACGCTCCGACAGATGATCTCACTATGACATCAGAGTGCCGGATGATGCTCACCGTCTTGCGCGGAATAAATGGTTTCCGGCTGACTGTAGGGTCCCTCCCCTTTGCTGTTGAACGCTTGGATTTTCACGATGAACTCGGTTGCAGGAGCGATGGACGGATCTTTGTGCACGTAGCGCTTGGCCTGCGGGTCAGAGACGATCACCTGTGTCCACTCGACGCCAGCTCGAGGTTTAAAGACCACGATGTAACCAAAGTTCGGCCCGTAGTAGTACTGCTCCTGGACAGGCTGGTCAAGACCAAAAAAAAAAAAAATGGCAAGAAGCTGTTGGCAACATGTAGTGAGGGAAAAAAAAAAAAGAATCTCATGGATTACATTAGGAACAATCCATCCATCCTTTTTCTCGACTCCATTAAGGTTGTGAGTATACACGAGCCGATATTAAATTCTAACAGTACGATATATGTGACCAAAAATTTTGCGGTATCATGCTATCACAAGATTACAATTACAGCTCTAAAATGTCCATTTTTGAATTATTTGGGTCAATTAAAAACTGCATCTCCCCCCCCATTGAATGGAATATATTGTGTTGTTCAACAGAATATAGAATATTTGGTACATTAAGGAATGTGTACTATGTTAAGTTTGAATAAATAAATAAATGAGAGCTAATGTTCATTAATGTTAACTAGTCTTCTGTTTGAATTCTTCTTAGTAAGGCACAGTGTCCCGTCACTACTCATGGTGTCCTTGGGGCTAACTAGTACATGGTGGCGCCATTTAAAAAAAACAAAAACATTTAAGGCAATGCACAATTAACAGAGCAAAAAGGCATCCATGTTGTCTTTCTTCTTGCTCCTGCCCCCTCCTCCATGTGTACCTGCGCATCCCTCCCGTTTCTGCTCGCTTGAAGAAAAAAAAAAACAACTGGCCCCAATTAATTTCATAGAAGCAACTCGTTTACTCCACTGGGCAAGCGGCCGATCATATCGAGGCCTGCTTGGAAATAGCCTCAAAAAAAGAATAGAAAGCCCATCACCATTTTCAGCATAAACTTGTGAACTCACTCCCCAAAACGGAGATGTCCAAACCTACCGTCCACGTGATGGTCAGTTCTCTGTTCACGCCGCCACCTCCACCCACATCTGAGGGCGCCACCACAGGACCTACGACAGGAGGGTGAAAACCCTGAGCCGACATGCAAAGCATTCCAACCCACACAGACTGTAACTAAGTAACCACGACATCCTTCTCAATATCTCGTCGTCGTGCCAAGTGCAACACTATCATCACTGATATTTATATGTGTATATATATATTTTTTTTAGGGTCTGTGATTTTCATTGTGGACTTGAAATGCAGAACACACTTTCCTCAAAGTGCTCATTTGTGGAGGTTTGTGCGGTCACTCGGGCTTCTTGCATAGGAGGTCAGCGCAAAGGCCTTTCCGGCCGACTTGTATTTACTGCGATATTCATCATGACCAAACAGTTATTCAAGACACGAAAAAAAAAACAAATGCAAGTCAGCATGGAAAGCTGGCCTGAAATACCACCTTTCCATTCCATGAACTTTTTTTTTTTTCCCTGAGTCATTCACATGAACTTACTTGAGGGCAGGGTTTTCTCTTTGCGAGAGGGGACGCTCGGGTCGCCCGTGCCCAACGTGTTGGTGGCCATCACCCTGAACTCGTACTCAGTCCAGGGCACCAAGTCCACCACGGTGGCCGTCTCGGCATTGCCTTCAACGTCTGGTGGAGCTACAAATACAAGATCGAACTTTCAGTACTCCTGAACATATGCAGTGCAATCCCACCTATTCACAATTTGCTATTCATCGACTCACCTATTTGCTGTTTTTTTTGTGTGTGAAACCAATCCCCTGCTATTTGCCAATAAACTCATTTATTCATGTTTGTGTTAAAACCCTGTCAAAATCGGAAAGTGCCAAAGAAGTCAGCATGGAAAGCTGGCCTGAAATACCACCTTTCCATTCCATGAACTTTTTTTTTTTTCCCTGAGTCATTCACATGAACTTACTTGAGGGCAGGGTTTTCTCTTTGCGAGAGGGGACGCTCGGGTCACCCGTGCCCAATGTGTTGGTGGCCATCACCCTGAACTCGTACTCAGTCCAGGGCACCAAGTCCACCACGGTGGCCGTCTCGGCGTTGCCTTCAACGTCTGGTGGAGCTACAAAGACAAGATCGAACTTTTAAAACTTCTGGAAATTGATGGTGGGTCCTTCAGAACATGTGCAGTGAAATCCCACCTATTCACAATTTGCTATTCATCGACTCACCTATTTGCTGTTTTTTTTGTGTGTGAAACCAATCCCCTGCTATTTGCCAATAAACTCATTTATTCATGTTTGTGTTAAAACCCTGTCAAAATCGGAAAGTGCCAAAGAAGCATGTTGAAGTGATACATCTCGTCTGTCACACACAGATGCATGATGTGATGTCAAAGGCACCCAGTGCCCACTGCACGGTGGCCCACTTTATATCATCCGCAAGTGGAAATGTTTTTGTCGTTCCTTTTAAATGTACTTTTCGGGCACCGATCTCCAGCAACTACATGTCATGTGGGCCCCGTACCTCTCTCTGTGCTGAATTTAAAGATAATGAGAAGAGCCGCTTACAGTGGATGGCAAACGAGTCAACTGCGTTCCCTCCCACAACGGCGCAAACACCCCCTTTTACCTGCTTCTGTCCAAGAAAATACCCCAAAAAAAGAAAACTCCTCCCATGCGCACAGTTAAGACCGATGCTGGGCACGCCTATTTGCTGTTTTTTTTGTGTGTGAAACCAATCCACTGCTATTTGCCAAGAAACTCATGTTGAAGTGATACATCTCGTCTGTCACACACAGATGCATGATGTGATGTCAAAGGCACCCAGTGCCCACTGCACGGTGGCCCACTTTATATCATCCGCAAGTGGAAATGTTTTTGTCGTTCCTTTTAAATGTACTTTTCGGGCACCGATCTCCAGCAACTTCATGTCATGTGGGCCCCACACCCCTCTCTGTGCTGAATTTTGCCATTCCAGTGGATGGCAAACGAGTCAACTGCGTTCCCTCCCACAACGGCGCAAACACCCCCTTTTACCTGCTTCTGTCCAAGAAAATCCCCCAAAAAAGAAATGTTAAGACTTGTGCTGGGCAGAAAAATAGGGCTCAAAGTCCTCATTCCCACACAGATAAGTCTGCTTCAGTATTATAAATATACAGTGATGACTGGATTCATGTGCCTTGCGCTAAATATAGCCAATAACAGTCCATCGACAGCGAAAATGTTGCCTTCAAATTACACACAGCATCTGCGTTGCCTACTTTAGTGAACTGGAATATTTTTCCTTTGAAACAATAAAGACCATCAATTTTTGAAAACCATTTTTTTTTTTTCCAAGGTGTCATGCCGGTTTGTTATGACAAAGCGATGGGATGAGCATGGAGGTAGCCCTGTTTATTTGGCGTTCTCACATGTGGTGGCGTTCCTCCACGCGGCCGGAAAGAAGGCGTCCCTGTACTGGATGGTATATTTGGAGATGGGGCTGTGGTTGTCTGCGCCGCGACTCCACCGCAGCGTGACGTTCTTGTCACTTTTCTCCATCACTCGCACCCCCGCCGGGGCGCCGGGGGGTCCTGGGTTGAGAGTCCGAGGAAATTAGTTAGTGTCGCCTGATGGCTTTGGAAAACAAGAGGTTTTACACACCTCGCCCGATGTCAAAATCAAACACTTGGGAGATGATTTTCAAGCAGCTGAAAAAAGGCGTCTCGCCGCGATACGTCGACAAATACAGCGCAGCAATGTGCAAAAGTCTTAGTTCACAATCGCATTTTAGATACGAGCTGGACAAGTCGAACTGCGGAATGGATTCGTAAGACTCATGAAAGTAGAGAAAGGAGACGCCCACCCTCATTTCCAATTTCGCAACGGCTTAACGTTTTGAATTAATTTTTCAACAGTCAGACTGGATGGAATAATGACCATTTCCAGCGTTTCGAAAGTCCATGATCCATTTTTAGGATCTTTGCAACCCATACCGTGGAGACTGGCGTGTCGCGTTTGTTTGTAAAAGTTCCTTCAAGTTAAACACACCGAGTCAAAGCCATCGGTGAAGACTTCTGGAAAAACTGACACGAGCCCAATTGAGGTGACCAACAATTGCCCTTCAACAGGCACGTGCGTTTCACTCATTTCTTCCACTTGGAACATAGAAAAAAAAAATAATACCATTCCCTGATAGCAAAGCTACAGTACAAGCCTCACTCCAAACCCGCAACCAATAACCTCCCGAACGTAAACCGAGATGACTAAGGCAATTAGGCGGTCCGTTCCGGACAGGCCTGGACGGTGGCGTCAAAAGATCTGGAGCAGTTCCACCACAGATGAAGTCTTTTTGACGAATTTGTGCAAAACTGTCAAGTCCTGGACCCGATAAAAGGGATTGTTCAGAAAGAGACTGTCCTGCCAGCGTACAATCCCGTACTCTTGCACCGTCTTCCTGGAGCTAATCCTGACACAATAAATGTCGATCCTTCAACACCGCCTCTCGGCAGTCAGGCCGCTGACATTTTAAGCCTCCATTAGTCACGGTTTGTGTTGAAGAAACCTCACAGTCATTTGCTGTGCGCGTCCACCTGCGCGACTGCACAGCCACCGTGCTGTGAAAGCAGTGAACACATCGCCTTTGTTCCTTTTTTGGGGAAAAGCAGAAGGAGCTGTAAGGTCAGTTGTCACTCACCGTGAGGTACGTGATGATGACGATCAGGAATCATCAAGAGCGGAACGTTATCATCGTTCCGCGTCTCCCTTCCATGGCGCGGTGCTTCGGCACTTAGCGTCGTAACTACTTAAAGCGCCACCACTGAAGGCGTCAGTTGAAACAAGTCCTGCATAGCAAATAATTTCGTGCCATGCGGACATTTGTCGTGAGGCAAATTTTATTCAAGAAGAAGGTGCCGGCTGCAAGAAAATGAGCCTTCACAGCAAAGTGCTGAAGCACACCACCGAGGTAGACCGACGTTGCATGTATGTTCATTTTGGGAGAGAAATTTTGGGTGGAAACTGAGGGCCGTTTAAAAATCAGAGCATGAACACGACAGTTTCCAACGCCCATAAGCGGGAAGCTAACTATGAGTATGTCCGTTTATTTTTGGAGACCAATTTTACGACAGGGGAAACTGAGGGGAGCAAGAAACCGGGGTCAAGATATATTGGCCTATATTATTAAGCAAGCAAAAAAATTTTTGCAGACTTGGAATGACATATTGGAAAAACATAGTAACTCAATAATATAAATTTTTGTGGAAAAGAAAATTCGTTCTTGCACTTGATGTTGGTTTGCTGTTCAGCAGCTTTGTGCTGTCCTTGAAAAGTTAATTTTTATCCAAGAGCCCTTTACAAAGGGGATTTTTTTTTTTTACAAATAATTAAGAAAAAAAATCACACTATGTGGTTATTTTGTGGTATGTATTTTGCAGATATTCACTTATTTTGTCCATTTTTAAAATGGAATTTTTGTGACACACCTGGTTAAGAAGACCCCCAGTAGCACCGGTGCAAAATTGTGACCCCCCTCGATCATTTCAGTTTCCCATCAATCATGTTGTACTTGGTACATGACAAAGTTTTTTAAATAGCCCACCGATAGATTGTAGTTCAGAGAAGTCCTGTCAAACTTCATCTCTATTTAATGATGTCAGGTAGCGGTGTCAAGAACAGACACATCACTAGTTTTCCATTTGTAGCCCTCGTTTTAAGTATTTGTGCAGCAAGAGCGCGACTCGCCTCTTACAACCAAGCTGGCAGAGGAGGTGACGTTGTCCACCGTCGTCTGTGCCGCGCAGGTGTAAATCCCGGCGTGCTTCAACTGCGCGCTCTTGATCATCAACTCGCCATCCGAGCTTCCATTCTGCAAAAAGCAACAGCCATCGTTGGAACTTCGGTGACTCGTCATGAGGTGAAAATTTTATTTCAATCGTTTTAAGGGTTAACGCGTGTGCTAAACTCATTTTGGAGAGTCAAATACTCTTTGGAATATTTTCTCAACCATATTCAATCAAAGCGAACCACATTTTATGAGCGGAAGAAAAAAAAAAACATTCTGTAGAAGTCATCAAATTCCAATGTGGTGTGCGGCAAGTGTCCACTGTGCTGACCACCACTCCGCAGAGGGAGCGATTAGGTTTGAATCAATGGATGCTATCAGAATTTGCTATTTTATTCAGCTGTATAAAATGCACGGTTAGAGCAGGGGACTTCCAAATGAGTGGAAATCCATATCACGTCTCACCGGGCTGCGTTCATAATGTTGGCTGTCCTTGTCGAGGTCAATGACTCGGCCGTCCAGGGACCAGATGAAGGTGATGTCCAGGGAGGAGTCGTGTGACGCGGCGCACTGCATCCGGGCGTTTTCGCCCACTTTGACGTCAGCGTTGGAGGGGGCCAAGGTGATCTTTGTGGAGTCTGTGAGGGGCACGGACGCGAGGGGCCGTCAGGACAGAATTCAGGAGTACTGAAATGCTCTCTCATCAACACAAATGAAACATGATGATGTTTAAATTAATGTTTTTTTTCTGCTGAGATACACGACTGAAACACGCTCACACTCACTGCCAAGTATTTTCGTACAAAGTGCCGACTGGAATTATGTATGAGGTGTTCCAGAACGTTTCAGTATTATAATAGTTCAGAAACAAATGTTGCGACACAATTCAGAAAGGCTCGTAAATGAAAAACAACAAGTATGGCGGTAACTGCGCGGATTATGACGGAAGTGACGCAACAGTGCACAGTGTGGCAACTGCTTCCCGCCGTAGCATCAGGCAGAGCTGCGCGGAAGTCGCATTGGTGAGTCACATCGAGTTGATGGGTCACACGAATGATCAATTTTATAAGAATATTTCACTTTGTTTTTTCTTTTTCTGCTGTGTGGTGTACTCAATTCGTTACAGTGCTTTCTGTGTTGTTATTAAAATGTACGTTTCGTCGAGTGAAAGTTGTTTGCACGTTGAGTTGATAGCAAGTGCTTGTTTGTTGTGCAGCGACGTACAGGACTGAATGCGGCTTCACCAATGCTCCTGCCGTACTGTGTTGCAGAGTTGCGATCAAAGAAAAGCCGCAAAATCCACCTCGGCGTTAGTGTTATTGAAGCGACAGCGACGTGGAGCTGCGGACCGTCACAGTCCGTAGTGGCCGCCCGTCACACATGTACTGTACCTCTAATTTGGATATTTGGACGATCATCGAAAAGTTAATCTTATTTATCACCTCAAGAAATTAAAATATAGCATATTTTGACTTTGTGACATGCGCTTGTGTGTCTGTCTATCTTAAAAAATTCATCCGTGCCCAATCTAAAGTCTATTTCTTGCGTGCGGAGAGGATGGGGCGGGGTGGCATTGTGGCAGACTAGTCTTGTATGCGCAGTTGTCCACAAGGGGGCAGAAAAGATCTGCGTGTAGGCCCTCGAGCCTCACAGGTCTTATTGTATATTGGCGTCCACAGTTGCAGTACAATGACTTGACATTCAAGCTAATGATATCCTTTATATAGAACACAATGATTGCTTATATCGCATTAGATCTCTTCTCAAGCTTTCCTCGCATCCGTCCAGGCCGTCACAGTAGTTTCTCCAAGTGTCATTCTTTCATATCAGTCAGCATGTGAAGGTCAGACAGCGTAAGAGTGATGATTTCGCAGCCAAGGCCAACATTGCTCAAACTGTGCGGCAGAGACCAGATAAGGGGGGGGGTAAGCATACTTATGTACCTGTTACTGTGAGAGAGCCCGTGCTGTTGGCCTTGCCCCTGTCGTTGTGGGCAAAGCAGGTGTACTTGCCCTCGTCCGTGCGAGTGACGTTGAGGATCTCCAAGCTGCCGTCCTCCCAGATGAACATCCTGAAAAGGTACAGCCACAGAGCATTTGGGGCCTTTAGATACGAGTTAAATTCATTCCGTGACCACCCTCGTAAGGCAACACTCAAATCACCTTTTCCCACTGAAATGGATGGAAATGCCATTAATCCATTCCAGCTTCTCCTTCCATTATTTTTGTAATGTGTTATGATCGGGAAAACAGTACTCTATAATATTGTACTTTACTGTAAGTGACACAGATAGCTTCTAGCAATAATAGTCAATCTTTGTGGAGGATAAAGAATATATGTCCTTAGGTATTGCAATATTTGTCTGCACCATTTTGTGTTCAAATATCCGTTGCTTAAAAGTGTTCTAACAGCACCACATAGCAAGTCATTAGCCTGCATTTTCCAATTGTGTTCGCATGATGCGAGCAGACCTCAAAGCAAAGTTATGTGGTCGTTTTAGTTTCATGTTTAGTTTGACAGTAAACTTCAACTGGGAGTGGCAGCAAATATCATGAAGCCTCTTCTTTGAACAAATTGTTTGCTATCGGCCAAAATACTACTTATTGAGAAGTGGGTCGAGTTTCTTCCCACCATAAAGCGTCACATTTTTGCTCAAGGGTCAAAGCAAAAAAAAAAAAAAAAAGTATCTCGAAAACCTTGTGGGTCGTGTCACTCGTATCTGAATGCACCACTAAAACATGCAGACCCTGTGATTAAAACTCCACTGCGTATCATTCCATATGTGGATGATGAGGGAAAAGAAACTGATAAAAAGTGCTTCGAATATGTGATGGTCCTCAAATAAAGTTGGAAAATAGAAGCGCGTGAGGGTGAAAGTGAGCCGAAGGCAAAAAGAAAAGAGACGTCAGATTCCCTTTTTTCTTTGCATATTTCAACCTCATGCATGAAAAATAGCATCCACGCCAGAGAGGCGATTAAGGGGCATATGCTGCATAGTAATTTGACCGCCGCTCCTCCCGCGTTTTGAATCCCACCCGTTGGGTGCGGGGGTGCGGGGAAGACTGTCGGGGGTCTCCCAGCTCCCTCCAGATTAGGCTTGTTTTGTCAGAGCGGGGTTTACCCATCAAGATGAGCTTAACGTCAGGAAAACCACGTCAACAACATGCCGTTCACAATTCGGAAATCCGCAGCTTATTTCGATCCCCGAAATGTCACATGACGGTACGACTCATCCCGTGTGGTATTTTGACCCAGATAGAAGAGGCATAAACCGCACGGCAGCCTTTTTTGGGGGGAGTCGAGGACGTTTTGTGGGAGGAGTCTCGTTCACCTGCTGGAGTTGGACAGCAGCTCGGTGTCTTTGCTCCACAAGACTTTGGGCTTGGGGGCGGCTTTGGGTCGACACTCCATCACCACGCGGCCGTTTCTCGGAGCGAGGGCATGCTTGACGGGGTTGTGTTCGAAGGTGGGAGCGCAGTCTGGAAGAGGGAAGGAGGGAATTACAGTCAGGAAGAGGAATTGGTAGCAACGATTCAAACTAGCATTCACACCTATGGACAATTTACAGTCGAGTTTTCCTTGAGCCTAACTGGTTTGTAAAACCTTTTAGGGCAGCAATTCGCAAAGTGTGGTGCTACTAGCGGTACTCGGGCTCATTCTAGTGGTACGTGGAAAAAAAAAGTAATGCCAAGTCGAGTTCAGTTGTATTTAACTTGTTTTGGTTACACTTTCCCGATTTTTAGGTGCAGAGTTAATGCTCAAAGTGTGCATAACGTTACAACGACTTGCATAACGTTACAACGACTTGGAATAATATTTTCATGAACACTTAGACCAGGGGTGTCTCAGTCAAGGGCCACATACAGAAATATGGAAGGAAACAAGAGCCGCTTGAAAATTCTTCAACTTTCATTGTTTCAACCCACCAAGGTCAATCAAGAAAGCAAATTGTAGTTTGTTTATTTTATAGTTATTTTGATAAACTACCACAAAACAGGCTTTCGGGCAAGAAATCTAAATTGGGCTACTGACTTGGACCTGCAGTGTAAAGCTGACATTGACATTACAAACTGCTTTCGGGACTCACCGAACACACGCAGTTCCGCGTTGGCAAAAATGACCCCGTGAGGATTCTCAGCGATGCACTGGTACATCCCGGAGTCTTCAAACGTCAAGCTGCTGAACGTCATCTCGTTCCTGTCCAACTGTGCGCAATAAGCAGAAGGCATTAAGTCAACATTTAAAGCAAACGTTCCAAATGGCATCCGCGAGCAGAGGGCCGCAAATCAAACGGCCGGATGTTGACACGTGCGGATGAGGGGATGCTCACTTGATTGAAAGAACCCTTCATGAATTTATCAGTGGCATATTTTAACACCCCCACTCCGCTGCTGGTGCGCCATTCTTTTATTTTAATTGTTTTTACGCTGGCAGCAGCTCAAAGGGAACAGAGAATTTCTCTTGACATGCTCACAAGCTGTCTCTCTGTGTGCCAGCTGTGTGTCAGCGGCGGCTGGACCGCCGAAGCTACAATGGGCCGGCTCAATATCCGTTCCAAGGGTGAGCTCGAACATTACCGGCTCTCCGTTCTTCAGCCAGCGGACGCGTGGTTCGGGTTTGCCGCTGGCTGAGCATGACATGGCGTAGGCGCTGCCGAGGTCTGCCTCTGCGCTGCTGATGTGCTCCACCCATACAGGAAAAGCTGGAAAACGTGGAAGGGAAGCACACGCATAAGCTTAAAGTAAGGGGGGGGGAAAAAAAAATCATGCAGAAACCAAGACCGGCAAGGCCAAGGGCAGAATCTGAGTGCAGCAAGAAAAGAAGTGGGACTCGACAGCCCTGACGTACCTTCCACGGACAAATGGGCGCTGTGGTAGTCCTTTCCCTTGGAGTTGACGGCCTCGCACTGATACGAGCCGCCGTCTTCCGGCCGCACGTTGTACAGATGCAGGTGAGCCCCCGCCATGCGCACCTCATGATTGGGGGGCAGCTCTCCGTTCAATTTCCTCCAGCGGATCTCTGGGACGGGGCTGGACAAAGACCAAGATATTGTAACCGGTACGTAGACATTGCGGACTGTTTCACGTCCATTTTGCTGGTCTGCAGTCTCGTAGGAACACACTCAGTTCGGACTGAAGACAAGTTTCTTGCTGCTGCCCCAATTTGCTGTGAAACGCTATTGCACTGGATCATACAGTATGGAGCTAAATAAGACAACCAAAATATTAGAAACGGCTCTCAATGGGATGCAGTGCACTTCGGCGCGCAAAATACGACAACTACGATGAAAGCTACACGCATTACCTGTTAATCAACTTACTTTCCCAAAGCAAAGCATTCCAAAGTGATGTTTTGCCCTGCCAGAGTGGTGGTGTCCGGGAACTTGACGTTGAGGTCAGCCGGATACTTCCTGATTGAACCTGAGGAAAGCAGAACTTGAATTCTTTTGTGCAGCTGGGAAAAGAATCGGGTCGGATGAAAAGTGAGAGTACTGACGTTCTCTGAGGGGAACCAACGGGATGTAGTTGGAGAAGACACTCTTGGAGATGGAGGAGCTGGACGCGATGCACGAGTAGTTGCCGCTGTCCGAGGCCTCCACTTTGGAGATGTAAAGGTTGCCCGTTATCTGCGAGACGAAGCGCCTTTTGTCCAGCGAGATAAAAGTGGGGAACTCATTGAAGATCCATCGGAACGACAGGTCGGCTGCAGAGATGCAAAACGCCCGCCTGTCAATCACTTTCTCGGACGCTTAGCAACCACTCTGGAAATAGCCGAGGCTCTGAATGCAACATGAACTCACTGTGAGCCGTCTGAATAGGTGCACATTTTTGGGGGGAAGTGCGGGGGTGGGGGCACATTTACTTGACAGTGAGAAGGATTTATTATTCATTTATTGACCTTTCAGATTACAATCGTTTAATTCTCCTGGCTTGGGGCGGGATAATCGAGAGATGTCTGCTGCTTTTGCATGAAAATGAAAGCATGGGGATGAGACGAATGTATTCATTCCGCTTCAAATATGAAGCAACAGAAAATTAAGTCAAGACGCCATTTGTAATTGAATACGCAGGACGCATAAACTAAATAACCTTGAAGCGAATATGTTCCAGAAAATGCGGTAAAACATGGAACCTTAATGTTGATTACGACTTCAAGGATTAGATCCCGTCGTGACGGATCGATTATCGGCCGGGCTGGTGTTTGGTATTTTGGTACACTTTCTCCATAAGACATGCTGTTTAGCCTGCAAGTTCATTGCGATGCTTGTTCGAATTTTAAAACAAAGATGTCTATTTTCCAAGATTGAAAAAGCAAATCTGAAAAGCTGATGAGTAAACACGTACTTCAAGGCATTTAAACGCAATGAAGCGTTGAGAGTTTGTATTACTTAAAAACATTGATACCATTATTTATTTTCTCCGCAAATATCGGCTCAAAATATGGGCCTCTTTGTCGACTGATAATTGGTCTCGGCACTGGAAAATCTTTTTTTGGGGTCGATCACAACCTTAACCATGGCATCTTCTTCATCCTGCTCACCTGGATGATGTGGAGGAGGAGCACAGAGAAGAACCGCCCCCTGTCCTTCTTTGACATACACAGACTCCCTTTCCTCCGATGAGAAAAGGTCCAAATCTGAGAAATAACGAATTACATTTAAAAAAAAAACTCAACAAATATGTCAACAGATGATTAGACACAACATTAGGTACACTCCCACAACCTAATAGGATCCAATATAAGATCAGTATTCCAAAATCTGCCTTCACCAAGTCAGTAATGTTGACATTTGTCAGCGAAGTATTCATTGAACTGCAGTTTTGTGGTGGTCATCGGTAACCGTGTATAATTTCACTGTCATCGTGCACCGATTCTAATATTTTGCCCATCCAAAGTCGCTAAAAAAAGGGAAATTTCAAAGAGAAAGTCACGTGAGGAAGAAGTCTGTTCATCAGTCACTAAAGTAACCTTTTACTAGCTGAAATACATCTCATATATCTTATCGACATCTATAGAAAACGTATCAAATATATAGACTGGAGGGTTACATGCTCCAAGCAGAGCAGGAGAAAGTTGGCCAAGCCATACTTTTATCTCCAGTAGACTCGACGACTGTCATGGTCTTCTAATGCCCTCAAGAGCATCAAACAGCTGCAGTTCATTCAAAACTAGGAACAAAGCTTACATCCAAACTGGACCGACGCTTCTCGACTGACGACCGTCCCGAACTTGTTGCTGGCCAAGCAGGAGTACCTCCCCTCATGTTGGTTTTTAACGGGGAAGCTGATGATCAAGTTGCCTTCCGACAATGTGTAGTGTTTGTGGTCAGCGCTCAGGTCGATTTCTACACCTTCCAGCCTCCATCTGCGAGGAAAAAGTAACCCGGGTCAGTTGATTGCAATCGCACAACGTGGCAGACAGAAACACGCTGCGCGGTTGAATTGTTATTTCTCATATTTAACACTTTCACACCTCAAATCATCTTTTCACATTCAAACGAATGGAAATTCTATTAATCCGTTACAGTCCACACACAAATAAAATTATAAAGTAATAGCGTGATTAAATAGAATGTATGGTAATTCAACAGTTTGTGCGTCAGGGTCTGACGCTGCAATTCATTTCATTGTGCCGCTCCTTTTTGCCACCAGGAGACAGTATAATGCTACAGTCATGCAAACATAATTCACGATTTTTGGAGAGGATTAAGAATATAGTAGACCTGCGCATATTCACCGTTGGGAATTTGCGGATTCACCTGTTTACGAATTTGGGGGATTATTTGCAGAAACCGCCGCTTGTTTGAGTTATTTTTTTTCCAAAGTCCCCTCTTATTTGTGATTTTTTTTTAAAACCCAATTCCCTACTTGTTAATTTTTTTGGTGGGGGTGTGACATTAAAAAAAAACTATTCAATGGTAACTATAATGAAAATCCATGACTCGCTGATTTCACTCTTCGGTGTCGACTCAATCACTAGACCTCGTTGGACATGCCTATATGAGTGTTGCTTTATTATCAGTCTACATGTATTACTCCACACTTTGTGTTTCATTAATTTGTTTATTGTTTGAGATTAAAATCTAATTTTATGAAAATATATCTTTTAAAAATCTGGCATGATCAATCCAACCAACATCCGTATATTTCGTTTGCACATTATACATTGGGGACTGCATGAAAATGACACCAGTATGAAGATGCGCCGGGTAAGATCATTTACATACATTTGCATGTAAATTGGCCGAGCTCATCATAAAACAGCCTCCGGTTTGCTGCGCGGTGAAATCAAGTGTCATCTGTTGCCAACAGCATCTTGTTTATTTGCTCTGTTTCCCCCCCCCTTTTTACCACTTGTATTAACTGTTAAATCATTGTTAGCGGGAGGACAAATGATGGCGGCAATGTGCATATTGGTGCCGTCTCATGAAAAAGAAAGACACGGCAAACAGCTAGCGTCTTTTTGTGGCTTTTTTGTGTGAATCGTCAGTAAGGGGTTCTGAAAAAAACATTCAAAGGCTTGCGCTCCGGTATTGCCTTTCATCAAAGTCAATGTGGTTAACGTAGCTTCCGCTTTGTTTTCTCACTGCCCGTAGTCTCCATTCTGCTGCAGCGGTTGTTTTCATCACTGCCCATAGTTGACGTTTTGCTTCAGCCGTCAGTGCCGTCAGTTACAGTTCTAATTTGCAATGCCATCGTGAATTGCAGATGGTTCACAAGATCCATTAAAAAGGTGTCAAGGTTAAAATAACACGCCTGCTGACCTCGGCATTTACGATATAGGCCGCCTGAGGAGAAATTGTGGAGTCAAGGGAGTCTAAAACTAGCAGTGATGATGCGGCGTGCACGAGGGAACATATGTTACTTGTATGCGGCAGGTGGACTGGCTCGAGCCCGGCAGCTCATGGTGATTTTGTCCTCGAGCAACTCCTCGGGGTAGATGGTATCCACCGGCTGCTCCTCAAACACCGGCCCGTAACCTGTGGCTTCATCTGCAGGCAAACACGGCCGAAGGTAAACAAAAACAACAACCAGGTGGACCGCCCGACAAACATCAAAGTCACACTGAGTCCTGGTGACAGTTCTGGGCCAATTCCATCCAAACATGTGACAGCTGGCTTGGCGTTGAGGGTGGAGGAGATACATTTTGCAAAGGGAAATACTTTTACTTGCCCATAAAAATAGCCCCGATATCTGCTATATTTTCTCATACATTCCCGGTCATCATTTGTTTCGCCAAATCCACAAGGTGACTTTTTGGACCCCAATTTTTTTTTTTTCCTTCAGATGCATGATGGAAATATTCGAAACATCAGGATTTGAGTTCCTGTTGGTTCTTACTGTTGCGATTAAAATGTGGCGAGATGGAATTAATCTCATCGGTTGGACACTTTGCTACTGGTTACCGAGAAAGTGCTCCGACTCAAAATGAGGCACTGCGGAGCCGATGGAAGGAAATAAGTGAGAAAATCTGTTCTGGGAACAGGGGAGAATTTTAGCTCAAGAATTTTTTTTTTTCCAAGCAATTTAAATTATAAGCACACACACTCAAGTGAAGAGAACATTATCGACCCTGCTAGGAATAAATTATTTGTAGGTAGAAGAAGAGGAGAGTGCTCCATTTGAGTATCGCGATGAGTCCTGGTGGCGCTCCAATTGTTTTCCTGTAATGTTGGATATGACAGATGGCGAGGTGGGGGCACTTTTGTCAAAGCAGGCCACAGAAAGGCCTGGAGACACAGCGGTCTCTCGCACCCTCTCGTGAACTTGTGTCCGACTTGCCTCTGTGTCCCCTCGACAACCCACACAGCTGCCTCATTTGCATATTTTGAGTCGTCTAGTGTCAATTTTTACGCTGGCGCCACTTTTTGACATTTTATTACTTCGGTGCAGTCGTGCTCACCAGAGGTGTGCAGAGGAACAGATTTTTTTGGGAGGTGAAATTGTGTGTGTGAGGGGGCTTCCAGTTGCTTGATTTTTTTATATTTTTCACGGCGTTCGTTCCCAGTTACAGTGGTTCCTCGACTTACAAACGTCTCTTCATACGAAATTTTCAAGTTACAAAACACCTCAGCAGGAAAATATTGCCTCTTGTTACGAAAGAAATTTCAAGATACGAAAGGTAAAAATACAGGATGGGCTGCTCCTCGCAGCTCCGAGTTGACTTGAACGCAACATACTTATAGCTGCTCTGCCATTGGCTATTACCTAGCATCTTCCTGCCATCCCATTGGCTAAAAGGGTCTTCTACCATATGTGTCTGTGTGTGTAGATCGACAGATATGTATCGATGCAGCATCCTTGTCATTCGCTCCTCGGGCCATGAGGTGTTCTGATAGTTTTATGTAAATGTGAATCACCCAGAAAAAGCGTTCGCTCACTATGCTGATGTTTGCCTTGGACATTTTCGAAGGATTGTTAAAAGCCGACAAAAGCAAACGTCCTTGGATCAGTTCTTGACAAAACGCCAGACAAAAACCACTTCTGAGAGGGAACATGAACTAAAGAGGGCAAAAAAAAATGATGAGGACGCAGTTAAAAGTTAAATGACCATCATTTTTATTCTTGACTCTATTCTTTGTTTTTTACATTATGCACAACTCTCATTTATTGTGCAATAATCTAACTGTAACATGTATTTGTTACACATTCTGAAACATTTGCTTTCAGAAACATTTATGTCAGAATTTTGCGGGGGCTCGGAACGGATTAGGGCATTGACATGGAAAACGCGTCTCTACTTACAACATTTTCTAGTTAAAAAATTTCTTCCAGAACTGATTAATTTTGTAAGAGTAGCTACCACTGTAGTTGGATGCCAGACTTGCTTGACTAAATTAATTTGCGTTACTTGGCGTAGCGCTACATGTGGCATTTGGTGGTGTGGCGTTGCGCTGCATGGTGTCAAGCTGCTTGACACCGCGTCACGATGAATGGCCAAGCGCTGGATTGTGTTGTGTGACGTGATGTGTTCGGTGGGCCATGGTTGTGTCTAATGAACCTGCGTAATTTGACGTTACGCCGTTAAGGTTTTGTCGTGTTGGCATGAATGTTATTTGATGCGGTGTTGTGTGCTATTTTAATTTCCACTTGATGAAAAAAAAAAAATTTGCGGTGTGGTTCCTGGGCTTGAAAAGAATGTGTGATGATGTCACTTTGGTTACCTTTTGAAGTCATTTGACGAAACAAGACAAAAAGTCACTTGACTTATAGCTTCACGTTTGAGCTTGGATTCAAGTGAACATGAGAAAAGGGAGGCAGCTGCAGGAAAACTGACTCCGGCAACTAACTGAGAATTCTCTCTCCCTTCACCACCCCCGAACTTTTTGTACCATTATCGACAAATGTTTTTGGTCCATTGCTGTACAGAATTGCGCCCTTATGTGTCACAACACTGCATCAAGCATCTCTCTGTTTCCTCTTTTGGCAACACTTGACCGTGAATGGATTGAGTCCATGTGTCAAACAAGCGAGGGCTTATTCACACTCAGTGAAAAGAGCGACTATTCCTCCTGTGCGCATACGGACCCTCACGCAATAAAAACCTACCGTCATATCGCTTATTTTATTTGCAATGTATCCAATTTGTCATGGATGTAACCATGCCAATAGATTCTTCACAATTTGCTTGACACACAAACTTACAAAGAGCAAGTCCAAACGCTAATGAAACGTCAAAAGCACGGCATGTGCAGTGGGAATCATCTCTGGAGTGAAAAATTGATTTGCCGACTGAAATAAATGGAATGATTCCGCCGAGACCGAAGAGACTGCCATCTCTTAGAACGAGCTGATCCGTTTACAATGTTTTCCATTTTCGCCGCAAATCCAATTCTTGAATACCACCAGAGTCTTTGCAAAACAAAAGGATGACCCCCTTTGTGGCTGACTGAAGCACAGAATTCTCCAAAAACAACGAAGCGCTATTATTTAACATCCAGTCGGATGCATTCCGACTCATTGAGTTTCCAGCATAATTTGGCATTTGAGAAGAAGAGAAACATATAGCTGGACAGCTTTTAAAAGTCACGCGTGGGTGTTAAGTGAGAGAAGAGGAAGAGAAGTAGCAGCGCCATAGACGTCGCCGTGATAAACGTCTTGCCCAGAAGGAAAGCAAAAGAACTTAGCTGCAGCTCATCTCAGCAGGAAGACCACCTACACACCATTCCTGCCTTGTGCAACGAATGCGTCATCAACTATAAATATGCCCAAGCACAGAATATGCAGCGTTTTAGACAAAAAAAAAAAAAAAAAAGTGACCAAAACGGCAAAAATGATTTTCGGCATCATTTTAAAGTCCAGTCAAGGCTGAAAAAATGATGAGCAACAGGTCTTACCTCTATTAAAGTCTGGATCCTCTTCCTGCATCGATGGATCTGTAATCGTGGGCAAAGGAACCAGTGTAAGCATATTTAATCATGTATGCTGGCCGTCATTAAGAAGCGAGTCACGGCTTGGTATAAATATGCAAGTTGGATTCAGAAAAGGTTCAAGTGGCGAATAATCGAAATGTGAGGCTTTTATGAAGGTCACCGACTTGATGACGTCCCCAAAAAGCCCACTTGGGAGCACTTTGAATGCAGCCACGGTACTCCTGAAAAGCTCCAAATTGCAATGATTTTCAACGTTCATGACAAAACAGACTTGCAAGTTTTTTTTAATGATGCAATTTTGCATCATGTCCATGCACAAACATGGCTCATGTTTGTCAAGCTACCTATGGATGTAAAGGGAATAGTATTTACACAAATGCAACATTGGGTTGAAGTATTTGTGCACACATGAAAAGCGCGACAACCTTGATGATTGCAACATATTGGCATTGGCTTCCAGACTCATTTGTGGACTCTAGCATTTTGTTGAACGATATGTTGCCTGTTTGCACTGCCGTTTCCTCTGTTCGTCCCCCCGCCCCCCTCCCTAATCTGGAGAGGGGGCTAGGTGATGATGACCCAATTGGATGTCGCTGTACGTATTCTGCTCTGATCGTTGTGGATGTGATTTGCTCCAACTGAGCTGGACGACAGCTGGGTCGACCACTGCTATGCCGATTTTTTCATTGACCAATTGGACCGGATTCAGAAGGGGACCTATCTCTCCAAGAGATGCCTGCGGCATTTTCATCTTGCTAAATGGACTTTAATATCACTCTAACATTATACCAATATTGGGTCAAATACTGTATTACCCACTCAGCATCCATTGCAGTCTGGCCATCCTGGATGGGGAACTCTCCCATCTGCGGCCCCTTCTCAGGGTTTCTCTTTTTTATTTTTCCCTCAGATGGTTTTTCTTGCTCCAAATTGGTAGGTGTTAAATTCAGGGGATGTTGTGTACACTTGTCAATGCATATGAAACTCTTTGAGACTGTTAACGATTAAGGGCTACATGAATAAATGTGACTTGACAAGTTTTGCTATGTGGGGTAGCAGCAGCTCGGTGATTATGTTTAACTCTAGGTAACAATGGCTACGCAGCGCTCTGTGTGTACTCGACTTTTGCCATCAACCTTCATCCTCAAAGAAATGTCAAGGCAATGTTCTTGAGTCGCACTAACAACCACGTCGGCTGCTGCCTTTTTTTGAAGCATCATCGCTTTTGACTCTGCACTATTTATGTGCATAGAAGAGAGGTCTGGATCCACACAATTCATATATATATATATATATATATATATATATATATTTCCTGAACTGGCGCCATGGTGGAGAAAACTGTATGGTTTATTCAAGAGAACTGTGATTTGAAACTGGAGAATCATGATTTTTTTTGTGGCTTATCTGAAATCAATAGGATAGCTGCAAATTGAAGCTCAAGGTACACTGAGGACGACGCATCTTTTTTTTCCCCAGACAGGCCAATGTTCTCACTACAATGTTTTATGTCCACTTGGCTTTGTTTCCAGCTTGGCTGATTGCACCACATTTTCGCAAAAATGAAGGGACAAAAAGCTTTGAGGTTGTAAGCAGGGTGCAGATTTTGGGTTTCCTCACATGTAACAATGATTCCCCCCCCCCCCCACCAAACACAGTACAAAGATTTTTGGGAGTATTTTTTGGTGGGCGCTAGAACGGATAAATGGCATTTCCATTAATTTCAATAGGGAAACCTGATTTGAGATACAAGCAATGTGACGTATGAGCATGGAACAAATTGAATTCTGAAGACATGGTACCACAGTAGCTGTACCGACCTGCGCGGGAGCCAAAGAGCAGTAGCAGGAGATAAAGGAGCAGGCTGAGGTCTGGCATGATGTCCACGTGACAACTGCCGGGTGGAGGGGCTTCAGCTAGGCGCTCAGCCGATGGAACATGAGCAGGACTGCCTGGTTCTCCTGAATGAGACAAAATCAAACGGAAACAGCTGTTAAAAATTCCACCCAAATGTGACTGAAGTTTACTAGCGGTAGCATGCATAACACTTGTGGCTCACTTTCAGATTCATTGCCCTTAAGGCGGATGTTACGCTGTCAATCTTCCTCCATTTTCCAGGACATGGTGCCACTTTGACACCACCCTTCCCTTCATGCTACGTCACTAGCATCTTCACGCTAACCGCTCCCTGTCAGCCTCTGAGGCTCAAAGCAATTGACTGACACGCGGACAGTCGCCAAAACGATTCGCCAGAGCCGGTTCGGCTGAGCAGACCCTCCCGCCGCTCCCCCGAGACGTTCACGCAAATAACCAGCAGCCAGCCGGCACCTCAACCGCACACCCACTAACGCAATATGAAAAGCAACAGCTGTCTGAGCGTCAAGGCCGCGAGCACTCGCAAAGACAATGGGAAAGGATAATTAGGATTTCACAATGGCTGAATCAAATTCTTCACGATGTGATGTGCTACGATGACATTCATACCGAGAATTACACCGGCAATGATCTGTCTTTTTACATCTCGATCCCCTTTTACTGGCTTGGCGCAGATGTTGCTGTCCCTATCAGGATAACATACGGTATGTAAAGCTATAGGTACATGTAATGTACAGGTTGGTATAGGTACACTTTCAGTATATGAGTCGGTATAGCATGGGTATAAGGACAGTATCATATGAAGGGTATATCCAATGTAGTTTGTTTCAGGGTGGTCATCCGAATAGATAATATTCAGGTATACCGTTGGAGGCTATAAGTAGTGATATACGGAGAGTACATTTACACGTGAAATTATACTGTCAATAGTATATTGTAAGAAAAGTGTAGAGTCAAAATGAGGATACAGCAATTGGTTTCGACTGTTTGAAACGGCAAAGGTACATTTTAAGTACAATACCATACAGTGTCCTGCATGTAGGGGCCGCATGACTGTGCTGAGCATCGGTTCAACAAAAGCAGGCCTGTCCAATTGGTGTAGCGCCGGGTGTTGATTACACTTTTGGATGGAACCCGAGGCAGACAAGAATCGATTCCTTGCGCGGGGCCCGATGTGTCAGCCGGTGAAGAGGTGTGACAGCACAAAAAGATTGAGATCGCAGCGCTCCCTGGACAAAGACAAATGGAGTCCTTTTACAGACGCTGGATAAAGACGCAGTATAGCCCAAAAAGAAAATAAAGAAAGCTTCTCGGTCGAAGACACAGTAATAAACCAGAAATCTCACTGACAACCACAACGGCAAGCACTGATGCAAATTGCAAAATGCCAGAAACATGCGCTGATGTTTATCTCAGGCAATAATCACTCAGAGGCAGTTAATTCGTCATCCTTTGGAAAAACAACTACTGTTACTGCAGCTTACTGAGCACTTGTGACAAATTCATTTATGAATACATGTAGAGCGGTGGATTGATTTGACGGGACTCTCATTTAATAAATTACTGATTTAACGGACAGAAAATAGCGTCCAGTCCACTCAAAACACCCCTTTGTGCAGTCGTTGCCAAAAACAATTATTTCCGGGCTGCGCCGCTGTTGTCACAAATCTACAGAGGGCTCCAGCAGGCTCATAGATGTGCCTACATGGCGGCCATGTTGGCAGGGGCGACAGTTCCAGCAAATGCATTAGAAAGCATGGACATTAGCTTAGCGTCGCTGAACGTACGCAGCTCAAAAACGGGTGTGTCGTTATCTATCCATATCTATGGCTGTTGGTGACCTCTTGTTCATGTGTGTGTCTCTTCAGCATGCAGTTTTTGATGCAGTTGTGGGTTTTTTTTGGTCAAGTCCTTCTCTATGGCATCCAATCTTAATGAAGGTAAAAAAAAAAAAAAAAAGAAGAAGCACGCTAATCTTGCGGTTTATGAACATGACCAGCACCCATAAGCACCAGCAAAGTAAGTTTGTGAAACAATTTACAATAATTTTGTTCTGTACTGGGCAATTTAGTGCATTAAATCGCGTGTCCACTCGTTATGAATATTAATTCTTTGCATTTTATTTCATTTGATTATCACTGTTTGCTTTAATAGAACACAATATGATGGCGTACTATTTTTAAACATGATGGTTTGTTTGGGTGCTTCATCACTGTCAAAATAATGTTGGGTGAACTGAGAGTGGTGAACAGAGAGTAAATCCGTCGTGCGTATTCTTAATGGCCGCCACACATGTCGAAGGAAGACAAAGTGTTTGGCATGAAATTCGTGTGACCGCTCATCCTCCCCAAAGCGTTCAACTGCTCGGATACAGCGGGGCTGGCGTCTCCTAGCAACACCACCCAAAAAGGAGCAATTTTGCGTGCTGCGGTGCGATGGCAATGAAACTATGCAAACAGTCATTTACTGCCTGATGACCTGCCGCCGCCCATCTATTCACCACATCCTTCATTTTGAGGTACAAATACGCCGTGCGTATATTACGACGCTCCCTCCTTCATTTCCTTCCTCTGCTCAGCTCGTCTGGCTGCCGAAAACAAGTCGTATCCCGGCCGTGAATCAAACACGACGGTAATAGATGCACTTAAGAGATTAGGGGAGATGACAGGCAGGCTCGCGTTAACGTCGGGGCTACGCGGCGAGGCGACCAACGCCATCCGTCACATGAGGAGCTGCCAGCCAATGGATACGGTGGAAAAAGGGAAGCGGTGTGCTATTTTAATCAGTATTAATTTAATAGGTGTCCTCTATCTGGGAGCTCACCCTCCCGTCGTCATGCTAACTCAACGGGCTTGAACGTGACCGCAACCTCAAACGCCGCCGTTTTTACAACACCCATACATCACACCGAGGGCCATGCCAGGGTTACTTACCGATTCTGGTGATTTTTTTTTTTCCCACCCCCACTCTTATCGGCGCCTCCGCCTCAGGCTTGAGTGTGCTCGCCTGATTTCAATCAATTGCCCTTTTTAGTCATTGCAAAATTCACAACCTGATTGCGGACTGGATTACAAGCTGCCGGGGGGGGGGGGGTGAATTCCGGGATTCTGAAGCATCTCTCTACTGACCATTGCTGTCATTTGCGCTTGCCATCATGACCCCATCATCCCCCTTATGTTGCCAGGCAAAGAGGGCCCCCCTCCTCCTCTTCCTATGATAAGTATATCCAGTGAACGACAGGGGGATGGGGAAGCTTTTGCAGGGTTCAGGCTTCAAAAAGAAGACATTCCGAACGACCCCCAACACGCCTTCCGAGTTTCACACACGATCAACAGTCGCAATCGTTAACATCAGATTTGTGTTAATCCTCCCAAGAAGAGGAAGAATCCAAGATGGGGTTAAGGCTAGAGTGGTTCTAATCAGTCGGAGAAGGAAAGATGAACACTGCTCAAAGCGGGGGTCTCCAAACTACTGTCTGGGGGCCATTTCTGGCCCACTGTATGCTTTTTAGGGGCATAAATGGCACTGTACCAAAATGAACAATTGGCATGGCCCGATTCATTTGCACGGCACTACTTACTTTCTATACTCTGTGGTGAGGTTTTCCACCAATCACACGTAACCTAGTAAGACGCGCCTCGAAATCGCAATTGGTCATAATCTTAGGACAGACCGCACTTATTTTGGTTCTGAGAGTGAAGATAGGATTCTGCTTTCAGATGGGAATCAGTTCCCATAGTCATGTGATTCTACAGAATCGTTTGTTTGTTAGTTTGATGATTGCTTTTACGTCACAAGTATATTTTCGTTCCGAACTTCGCCAACACGGCATCAATATCAATATAAAAATGAATATAACGTTATTTTGTTTATGTTGATATTTTTTATGTGTGGGCCATCGTGTTAGCTTTGTTTCGACACAACTGTAGCATCTGAGATGCTAACACAGCAAGTCCATTACGTCATCCTTCTGCCTCATTCTCCAGGCATGACCAATCAACCTACACTTCATCCAATTTAAAAGAGTGTGACATTTGGGTTGAGGGTATATCGATTCGTCATGCCTGGAGAGTCATACTAAGGGTTGACGTGCTAAAGAGGGGACGGTTACTGTTACACTGGTCACTCGTGAGCCAAGTTCAACAAGTCCGCAGTGTGCGTGAAGATTGTTCGCTGTTAGACCACTGACACACACGCGGTCCAAGATTAAACGAGTTCCTGAGTTTTTGTGTGACGAGAGTGACTGCATATTCTGTATACAATAGACCTGCGCTGATGCAACATTTCAATGCAATTATTTCCTGTCCTCCAGCGTCTCTGATAAGAAACATGCTTTTGGGCCCTGTTGATTGAAAATCAAGAGATTGAAATACACTGCCTGAGCTGCTGGTAAATGGATCAATCAATAACCTCATCTCGTAATCAGCTCATCCCATCTGCTCACTCCTGACACCTGATAGGTGTGTTCGGAAAGTCAAAGCTGCTGTCTATTCCGTGCTCCATTGGATCTTATTTTTCCCCACAAAGTGGCGACCAAAGCGTGACAGTCTCACTTGTGAATTATTGATGGCAAAGAGTATTGATTCCCTCAAAGTCTTTTTCAGTCTGTCAGGAGAATACGAGTGGAACGTCATGTCAGATTTTGTCTCGACTGACTGGGTAACAACTACTTGCAATAATATTACTGTCATGACTTTTCGACCAACTATGCTCCTTTTTTTATTTCAATCAAGTATCAAGTATAACTTTACTGTCAATTTTTTGGTGGGGTGGGGGGGGGGGGTTCAATTTATTTATCTGGGGATAACACTTGGTATTTGTTTTAGGTGGTAGTTGTTATAAAACATTTGATGGCAAAACCTATTTACAAATATCCACCTGCGTAAGAATTTTACAACTATTTGCACACTATTTAGTAGTGGTAGTATTTAGTAGTGTGTGCGTGCTTATTATATTTGCCAAAGTGCTGCTTATCGTGAAGTTAGTTGAGTTTATTGTGACCATACAGCATTTGGACCACCACCAGATTATATCAGATCAACGCGTTAACACTTTACCCGCATTGCCGAGGCCTGATTCTCATTTT